AATTGGGGGTGGTGGTGGCGCCTGGAGGGGGGCTTTTGGCTGCTTGGGGGCGGAGGGGTCTCCAATTCTGCTGTCTCGGTGTGCCCCGTCGTCAGGTCCCCAGCCTGTAAGTCTCCGTTTCTGGCTGTTCTTGGGAAACTGCCCCCAAGTTTCTAGGTTTCCACGCCTGGGCTTCTGCTCCTGTCTGTGTCTGTGTGTGTCTTTGCACGTCCCCGGTTTCTGGAAATCTTCGCGTGTATGTCAAGTCTGTTTGGGTTTGTGTCTCCGTGTTTCCCTGCTTCTCTGGGGTGGGGGGTGGGGTCTCCGTTCCTGTTGCTTTCCCGCGTGTGAGAGAGAGAAAGTGAGAGCCAGCACGTCCGAGCGGAAAGGGCCCTGGGAGAGCACCCGGTGGAAGCCCTCGCTGTACATGCAGATGCGGGGACTGGAGGAGGGAGGGCCCGGGAGGGACAGGGAATTCCTAGGAGGGGCTAGGAGAGCTGGGACCCAGGGGCTCTGAGTCCCGCCTGTGCAGTAGGAGCTGTGAGAGAGGAAGCGCGTGTGAGAGCCAGTCGCTGCCCTGGGGGTAAGTGTGTCGGGGAGCTAGCGTGGAAGGGAGCAGCCCCTGGGGCTTTATGGACTGTGGCTCATGCTCTCTGCCCAGGGAAGCACAGAACTTGCTGGCTTTCTGTCCTGCCCCCAGGACCGGAGGACACTCCCAAGAGGCTGGTCTGGGCGGTAGCTCCGCCCCCCTCCATGCCCTGCCCCTCTGAGCTGGAATGGAGGAGGACGGCCCCCCTTCTTTCCCATGTCTTGGAAAAAGAAGGCTGGCTGAGATCCCCCGCCCCCCACCGCACCACACACACACACACACACACACACACACACACACACGGCACCAGCAAGCACACTGCTGACTCATTTTCTCCAGAAGACCCCGTGCCAGGGCAGATGCCAGCGGTTGGGTAGAAAAGTGGTGCCAGGCGAGCACCCTATAGTGGGGCCCAAGCTTTGGGCAAGTGGGCAGTCATGCTGCATGGAGGCCCAGCCTCTGCTTGCTCCTGTCTTTCTGCCTCCCTCACCACTACAGGGCCCCAGATCCTGTGCCCTCTGGTCCCGGTGTGCCTGCCAGCCTTGCTCCTCCACACCTCTCCCCAGACCACCGAAGTGCCATCTCAGTGGGTGGCGGAGGACTCACACCGGTGGGAGGCAGGCTGCAGGGCAGAGAGGGCACTGCCACCAGGGGCTGTGACAGAATCCTGACACGGCCCTGGGAGCTTGGGCAAGCCTTTCTGCTTCTTGTTTTTCTCACCCACAATACGGGCATCTTCACTCCCAACCAGCAGCTGGGCGGTGGGGGTTGTGAGGATTACAGGGACTGTGCTTATAAAGGGTGTAGAACAGTGCCTGGCTTATAGTAAGTGCTCAGTAAACGGCAGCTGTTGTTTGTATTATTATTCACCTCATCTTCAATGGATGTGTGAGTCAACTGGAAAATTCTGGGCTTCATCCTGTCCAGACAGATGACCCATCTGTGTTCCCATGGAAGAGGTAGAAGGTGTGAAGGAAGGAGCCTGGGTGGGACTGTCTGGCCACCTGGGGCCTGGCTTTAGTCCATGGAGGCAGGTGGAACAGGCCTATCGCCCTTTGCTGTTCTGTGTCCTCTGGGCAGCTTCTTTCCCATCTTACCCCTTGAGAGCACAGCCAAGCCCAGGGGCCTCGGGGGCCCCTTCCTTGTGTGTTTCGGGGTCCCAGCACCCTGAGTCTCAGCTCTGAGCTTTCAGTGGGTGTTCAAGCTGGTATGGGTCTCCAAGATCCTGTATGTTCCCAGGTAACGAGGATGGAGGAAAACCATGCAAACCAGCTACACCTTCCAGCAGCCTGGTGGTCCAGGAGTAGCCACAGTTGATGTACTGGCAGAGGGCTTTTCTCAGGGGAAGTGAACACCTGGGTTTCCCGCTTGGAGGGCTGTGTGGCCAGGCTGTGTCTCCAAGGTCAGGCACCTAACGCGTGGCTCCAGTTTCAGCGGCCTCCTGCCCGCTCTGGCCCCTATGCTCTGGTCTTCCCGACATGCTGGAGCCCCGGCTTCACCGAGCCAAGGCCCACGAGTCAGTGGTGAAAATAGAAGTCTAGAAGAACAAAGCCCTGAGCCAGCGCAGGCACAAAACATTACGAGCAGTAGCCTACGCAGGATTGGAACGGGAGCAAAAGGATCGGCAGGGCCTCCCTCCGGGAGCCAACTTTCCAGGCCTGGAGCTCACTTAGAGGGCTGTTGGCTCCCCGGCTGCATCTCTGTTCCTGTTGGTGAAGGCTGGGACTCTGGTCTCTGACAAGTCCCTATAAGCCTCCGCCTTCTCCATGGGAGGCAAGTCCAGTGAAAAGGACTGTGCGTTGAGCAGTGGAGTCAGATGATATGGTCACTGACACGCTGTGTAGCTTTGGGCAAGTCACTTCCCCTCTCTGGGCCTCAGTTGTCCATCTCTGCAATAAAGAGATGGGACTAGAATCTGACTCTAGAAGAGCTCAAAGGGCCTTCTCCCACTCTATACTCCCGCATTATGCTTTGGAAGTTTATGGGTCAAGTGCACACAGAATCCAGGTCTGACGTGGTTAGTGGCATTTGTCAAGGTGAATGGACCGGGGGGGGGGGGGGGGG